CCACTCCGTGGCCCTTCCACCTGATTGTGACGTGGGGAGCTGCTGGTCGCGTCGTTGTAATGGTGAATTCTTCGGCCACTCGCAAGTTGCTGAGTGGAAGAAGACGTCCGAGGAGGAGCGACTGGAGGCATGTTGGCCGGGCGTTCGGACCGGGAGGGACGATGCTCCTGTGGTAACGGCGCAGAAGTATTGTGCCGGCTTGATCTTGGTACGGTTTGATCAACAGAAGGAGAGCCGCTACCGCCGCCGCCGCCGCCGCCGCTCGTCTTGCGAGAAGGGGGCCGTCTCGAGGAGGGCGACGAGGCTACAGCTTGATGAGCATCGTATGGCTCCCGGCCGGGGGAAGAGTGTGGTGAGCCGTATTGACGACTAGAAGAAGGCACCGGGGGCGAAGGCAGAGCGATTGGCTGATGGGGAGCTGACTGTAGGGCTGCCGACGACATGTTCCCAACTTTCACTGCGTATCAGGCTGGAGGAGCAACTGGCCTCGGTAGCGGCGCCGTAGGCCGATGCAAGGGCGATGAAGGTTGTATCTAGAATCCGTTTTGGCGGCGATCAATCGACGAAGGCGCAAAAATTATTTTGTAAGATGCAATAGCAGACGACAGCGCCTTGATGCAGAGCAACCAAGTGGCGCAGCAGCCAACTTGGGTGTCGTGGTAGGTTCAGCCGGTTCGTCAGCTGCGCGGCGCAGAGGTGTGTTGCGTAGCGTTGCGTAGCGTTGCGTCGACGCGTGGGAGGCAACAAGGGGGATTCAACGGGACAAATGAATGTACCAGCAGAACGAAGGGCAGCAGCGTAGCTTGCTGAGGCAGGCACGAAAAAAAAAAACAAGAGCAGACTCGCAGCAAATCTGGGTCTGTGGTTGTGCCAAAAATGCAGGCCCCGTTATCTCATGGTTTCAGCGGTCAAGTCGCGGGCTATCGATTTGTTGTTTCGTCGAGCGTCGAGGCCCAGAAGTTACGAGCCCCTGAGTGGTGGACTGGCGGGTGACCAGACCGGTGGTGGGCAAGGCGATGGCCGGGTGGTCAAGTGGTCGATGGAAGAAGTGGGCGACTGACGGGGCGGCGTTACGGGAGACGGCAGACGCGCTCGCAAGGCTCAATGTCCTCAACCAAGGTGCGCTGCTTGGACTTCGTAAGGATTCGTTTGATCCGCGCAAATTCTTTGGCCCGTGTTGGCGGTCTCCTCAGACACCGGACACTACTACTCTTGCTGCCTGGATACGTGACTTGAAAGCCTAGGCTCGCGCTCGGCATGCGATGCTGGGCTTTTTTATTTCAGTGGCCTCTGCACTGCAGGTGCATGTGTCTGGTTGGTGGAGCGCAGCCAGAACGCGCGCGGGCGGCTTCAACGGGGCCTGCAATCCACTCCAACGCGACGAGGAGCCGTTGAGCTGTCTGGTCAGATCGGTCGTGGTCGCCTTGTCAACGCGGTCGGATCGCCGGTGCTGCTTTGTTTCTCCCAGCTGCGCAGCACTTGTCAAATGCACAGCACAGCACCACAGATGACAGAAGGTCGGTCAACTTTTGTACGGAGTATATACCGGCAAGTGAGTCGGCAGCGGGCAGGCCGATGATTCCTCACTTTTGAGCAAGTCAAGTCTTTGGAGCTCGGGGCGCAAGTACGGGAGCGAGCTCGAGCTGGCAACCTGCGGTCGGCTTATCTCGTGGGGCAGGAGCGTTGGGGGCGCACAACACCGAGCAGAAGGAGCAGAAGAGGCAGAAGGAACAAAAACTTCGCGACGTCAGATCTCGAGGAAGGCGTCTGATTTTGAACGAGAGCCCGCTTCATCAACTTCCTCAAGGGAGGGTGATTGAATCACCAGGCAAATTAGATGGCACCTACTACTCCATACCCCATCGACCTTGGCTATCGAGTACGGAGCACAATGGCCTTGTCCGCCAGCCTTCCAGGTAGCTGTGGAGGCCTACAGGGCGAGCATGGCTTTTCGGGACATTACCCAGCGCAAACATGAGCATTGTGAGATTGGTGAGAGGACGGGAGGCTGCGTCGTGCCCCATCCCTCCATGTTCTAAAGCGGGTCCCAAGCCAGGAACATGACGAGGCGGGCAGGTGGGCTCGTCGCGCCGGCCAGTGTACCAGTCCAGGTACTACTACTACCTCCATGTGGCCCATGTCGCCTCCTACCTGTGTCACGGGAAGCCACTTTTTGATGCTCTCGACGCCGTGACAAGGGCGGCCAGGTACACGCATCGCAGTACGCGGGAGAGGATGTACATGTGTACTTATACCTGACAACCTGGGCGTCTGAGCCTGGGTCGGCCTCGAGGCCAGGACCCCAAATTACCTGTCACGGCAACTTATTGTCAAATTAAATGACCTCCTTTCTGGTCCTTCGCTGCATCCTCGGATTGCGCCACGGGCTATGCCATGGCAGAGAGCGAATGCAACATTTGTACAGCAACAAAATCCGGGCACCAGCGCAGCGGCGCATTTCGATCCTCGACCCTGATAACACGACACTGGAACTGGACGCGCTTGTCCCGCCTGTCCGTCGACGCAAGTTTTTCGGAAGCTTCTTCTCCGCAATTTTAGCATCCTTGGCTTCCGTCAGCTGGTTCATCTCTCGCAGCATCGATATTCATGCCTTGAATGATTAATAGACCTAGCCTCCGCCGACGGCGTGGCCGAGTTGCGCGGCCGTGGCGTTTCATGCTTCATGCGGAAAGTTACTGTCATCAACCAAGGAAATGCCCATCGCCGATGTGGCCGGGCGGTGCGTACTTGGCCAGTACATGCTCATGCATGTACTGCAGTGATTAGTATCTGTGCTTGTGGAAGAGGGAAGAGACAATGCGGTGGCGGCTAAATAGTCGGTCATAGTTTGCCCTTGTTGCGCCGTATTTTACCAGCCAGCCCTACGACTCGACCCAGGACCATTCGGCCGATATGATCCAAAGCTGATAACGTACCTCAACACCGCCGACTATAATTGTGGTTGGTTTGTTGTATCCCCAAATTCAAGACTGCCTTGTTATTGCCGTGTACACATCGCCATTGTGGCCATTGTCAGCTTGGCCATGGGGTGCCGGGGACGGACGCTCAGACATCTCGTCAGCCGAGATAGCCAGCCAGCTCCAGACTGACCGCCAAACGCAATCACGGTTGGGGTCTTTTTATGCGGAAGACTAATTTCTTGGCACTCCAAGGGAGGAATCCTCTCCTGCGCCTGTTCCGTATGTAAGGAGTGACGTTATTTGTAGTATGTATATATCTACCACCCACCACAACCGAATGACTTGTTTGAAGGATTTGTGTTACCGTCGAGTTGCAAGGGCACGGCGACACCAAGCCCATTTAGCACGGCATCTCTGCGTTGAATCAACTAGTAGTCGCACTGTTGCTTCCCGCAGGAATATGGTCAACGATCAGCCCTCGTTTTGAAGGGACGGTGTGGCCATTGGCATACAAGCACAGACTATTTCAGCATTGTTCGGTTCCCTGTTCTTTCCTGTGCTTTGGTCTATCAATGGCTTAAGACGAACACGCTAAACACGATCCAAAACCAACCAGGCCAATTAGCGTGCCCGTATGCATTAAGACGAGCGTCTTTTGGCGTCTTCACCCTTGTCCAGCTTACTCCGTGCCACTGCCATAATAATACAGCGACTATAATGGAGACGGAGGGGGAAAAACGCGGTTCGCGAAATTACAGTCTGTTATGCAGTGGCCGTTGTGCATAGTTTCCAAGTCCCAGCCAGAAGAAAAGTTCGCATCGGAATAAGTAAAATGGTGATGGTGCCTGTTTGCGACGGGGCGAAGATGCCTGCCCTTTCTCTCATTAGACCCAGCGAAGGAATTCAACGACTCTCATCATCCCTGCCTCTACCTAGGTTGTGGTAGTAGTTGTCAAATTGTAGTTGCAAGGCTGGTTGTTCCGGCATCCCTGCAAGCATACAATACATACATACTGTACATATGTATGTACGTACTACTGTACATATGTATGTACGTACTACTGTACATATTTCTAGCCACGCCTGCATGGTACTCCGTACGGAGCATGGCGTATCTTGCTTTATTTTAAGACGCGCCTTGCTTGTTTGAGACTGGGAGATCGACAAACGCATCTCGAAAGGTGAAAAACAAAGAAAATGCGTGTCTGTTTCGGCATGGCCATTGATCCAATTAAGACGTCACGACATGGTAATAAGACCGACTCCGAGATTGTGCTCGGATCCATCTCGCCATGCTGCTCTCGTGTGGCGGCAAACGCATTCGGTTTTGCTTTTTGTGGCATATTTGCTTCCCGTGACTCTGGCTGGGGGCACTTGGCGCAACAACTGCAGGTCCAAATCTCATTCAGTCGTGAGATCTGAGAAGTTCTGACGAGTGCCTTCTATCAAAAACTGAAGCTGTGGATGAGACATGTGTTATCAGGGACCAAGGCGACGCCGCCATGAAAGTGTCCATGCCTAATGGCATCCAGACAATGAATCCTCCTCCTTGATTGGCACTCCAAGTTGCCTCTGCAGACGGCCCAGGCCATGGCAGGAACGCGTCGCATCCAGTACTCCCAATGTTTGCCGACCGAGTGTATCCAAAAGTAAAAGGGCGGTACTCCAGTCGACCACTCCTGCCAAGCGTATAATACCGTTTGTGCCGATGGCTTTCTGCTTGATAATTCCTTTTACTCCAAAGGGAGAGGGTAGTATAAAGTCGGTGGCTGCGAATGAGCCACATCTTTCAAGGGAAAAGACGACGAAACCTTCTGGTAGGGCGGTGCGCGTGGCTCCACTTGCGCTCTCCCGCTGGTTTTATGGATTCCTACTTTAGGGAGTCTGGCTTCTATCTGGTACTACGTAGTACTAGTAGTAGTACTACTACAACATTTATGTAGTTACTAGTAGTTGCAATTCGTTGGTCAAAGAGACTGCCCCACATTGCCAGTTACCAGTCCCGCAGCCAAACCACGACACTCGCAAACTGCCGTTGTCTGAGCTCTATTGAGAGATACCCTCACGCACCGCTTCGCAATGGAGGTGGACAGCGGCAGCGAAGTTCTGAGCAAGATCGCAGCAGGCGATCCAGTTGAGGAGTACGTCCTATGCTTACGCCTGCTCATTTCTGTTGATCCCCACCCGTTTGGATGCTAACGACCCGGATCAGAAGCACATGGCCGATCCTCTGCGCCGCCATCATTGCGCGGTTGGACAAGGTATCATTTGCTCAACTATCATCGAACTGTATACATGTGCAAAACTTTGGCTAATTCTGATGCAGATTGCGCACAATGACTTCCCCATACCAACCCTTCCGCCGCCAGCGCCTCGCCCTGCGACGCTAGATAACCGTCTGCTCTCCCCGCTGCCCTCATCACCATTAGAGCACACAACATCTCGGGAGGCGAATAAAGAAGATTCAATTGACGATAAACAAGCCGAGCCCGGCCCTGCTGCCCCAGGCGAACTACCAAAGCAGATCGAGGACATGTTGACGGATATCAAGAAGCACCTCGAGACGTTCGAGTCCTATGCGCCGCACACGATCCAGCGACTGGCAGAGCTGATATCGGAGCCCCGCGCACATTACAGGGCTCTCGCATCGTATTTACACGCTGTCGACCGAGTGGTTCGAGTTACGTCCGGTACCAATGTATACCCTTTGCCGCCCGCCATTCCGGACATGTCGAGCATGGAACTGAACGGCGACGAGAAGGATCCTGCTACATCCGTGTCATGGAGCAACCCCACGCTCCCGACGCTGGGCACGGATGAGTCTCTGGGGGGAGCCCTGTTGACTCCCATCCCGTGGCTGACGAGACGAAGCCCCGAGGGCAACGGAGATGTACCCGTCTCAGCCGGAGCACAGATCCACAGCGAGAGCACAGAGACAATCGACGGACCAAACGGCATGGGCAGGATCGAAACCGTATCAGTCAGTGTCAACGGCATCCCGTCCACAGGGCACGCACGCGGCGTCACACAGGGCGAACTCCTCCGCCAGGAACAGCGTGCCGGCGTTGTCCCCGTCAGCCAACTGAATCGGAATCAAGAGTCACTAAACGAAGACGACAAAGACATGGACGAAGAGGAAGAGGAAGTGCCCCACGCACGCGGACCCGAAGAGATTGGCGTAGGTGACACGGGGCCCCAGGGAGTGACGACTAGTTATATGGGGGAAGATGGTGTCTTGATGCAAGGAATCGACGTCGAAGCAGCCGTTGGTCGTAAGCACGACAACGACTACGAGCACGCCCAGCAAGAAGCCAAAGTCAAGGACGACGACGCAAGCAGCACATCCAGCACCGAAAGCACGGGTACAAAACGCGAGGCAGAGCAGGAACTGGAGGGCGAGCCGGCCAAGAAGGTCAAAGAGGACGACGATGAATCACAGGACGTTATGCTAGATGAAGCCTCGGCCGAAACCACGGAAGCCACCACGTCCAAAGGCGACGGTCCTGTAGAAGAAGACTCTCCGCCAGGTTCCGGGGAGGGAAAGGAATCTGAGAAGCCAAACGATGCGTCGAGTGACAAGGCGGAGGCAAGTGCCTAGGTGGCGACTGTAGTAGTTATCACCGGCCGCAAATGGTCGTAAAGACGCGGAGTACAGGTCACAACTCACAGGGTTGCCATATACCATTGTCACGATTAATAGTTGCCAGTAGCTTAGGTGTCGGAGATGAGGTGGATTATTATTATTATTTCTATTCAGCTGCAGGCGTTGGGCGGGACAGACACGGGGTTAATCCCAAGGACTCAATATACAAAAACCCCAGCCATTGAGGTCGAGATGTCGATATACCATTACACGAAGCTTGGCAAATACTCGATCGAGCCAACTACCTACCCTTGACGCAATTTTCAGAACTGCTCCCAAACATTTCATGTTCGCCATTGCAGCTCTACGGCGTAAAGTGCAGTCAAACACGGCGCCATGTTGCGACCAGATTCGAGTTTTCTAGTCCCGCGAATCTCCAGGTCTCTGTAGACAGTCCCGGAACGCACGTATCTTGCAGCTGTTTCCAAGCACAGACCTATCAATGGGTGCGTGTACTATTATATCACCAATACTCCGGCTTTATTTCAGTATCGAAGGCTGTTTGACCACCTCCGCTCCAGGTTTCGAAGTTTCTCCATGAACCACCCGGAAAAGTTGAGTTTCGAGCGCACCTGATGGTGCTGCAAAACGTATACATCGCGCCCCCGAACCAGCAACAAGTTGTGCCGTGTCAAAAAGCCAACCCTCCATATGCCCCGAGCAGCCGGTTGACGTTTGAAGCGTCCGGTGTGCAGACGCCTGCTGCAGGACCGCCCAGGGCTGTTCGAATCCGTCGTCCACGAGCTTGTTCGAGGACAGGAGATGCGTGGAATTAGGCGCAGGCAGGCGCTTGTGTGCTGGCATCCCTAGACAAGTGAGGTTTGGCTAGCGGTGTGCCGGAAGAGGCAGCGCTGTCTTGACGGATTGGAGAGGAATGTATTCTGAAGCATGTCGACTTGCGGGTTTTATATTGATATACACTCACAGAAGGTGAGCAAGCTTGACCGACTGCCGGGCGTGAATGGAGATGATGAATGTATTCTGAAGAGAGTATGTTGGCGTATAATTCCTATATAGACCTACACTCACGGAAAGTTGACAGGTTCAACCAGCTGCTGGGCATGAACGGAGATGAGGGCCATTTTCTACAAGCAGCTTCGTGATTTCAAGGTGTAGCTGGTTGTTTTACGTGAGACTTGATACTGTGTCCTGATATATGACGGCGGATATTATCCCAGTTTTGGTTCACAGAGGCACGCTTTTCGGGATAACCATGGTGAGTAACATCGAGCACTGCTCTTGTCACGACTTTCGCTGGCTGCTTACTCCTTCGAGATGCTTTGGATAGACCGCCATCCGCGTGTTGGATATCTGTTGGCTCATCGGAGAATTTGAGGCTCATGAAGCAAGACACGTCACGTTTTGCAGGTCTTTTCATATTTATCAACACCAAACAGCAGTGATAAACTTATAGTTTACATGTATACACGTATATCAGTAAACAGCCTTCCAAAGACAACGCTATCCTCTCCCTCGAGCTAAATGGCCGGATATTCGTCACTTTCGCTAACAGTGATTTGGTATAGGTTACGCCCGCTTGAATATGCAGAGGCTCATGTAGGTGAATTTCCCCTTGAATAACTAGCAGGATTCTACCATGAGTCTATCATTCAACGCGTATCAACAACGCTGTAATTGGAAACCAAGTGACGTGTATACCTATATGGTTCACGAACCATGTAGATACATACGCAGCAAATTTTGATATCAGAAGACGAATTAGCCAGCGTTTGTACATGCACCCATCACCAAGCATCACACGCAAGGCCGAGTGTGCTCGTGTGCTCGTGTGCTCGTGTACTCGTGAGCGTGTCTTGACCCCAATGCCAAACTAGTCTGCCCAAGCAACAGACTCAACACACGCCTCTCCTCCCACACGCGACAAGCTCACAATCATCAACAAATAACAGAATGATGCCGGTTTCTCACAAATCTTGCTAGCGCGTTTCAGAGAAGCAAAAATTCAATAATTCAACAAGGCTAAGCAGGAAATACTCTAGCGCTGGCTATTTCCACCCCAACAAGGGAAGGTGCCTCGACCCCCGATTAGGCAACCGCGGCGTACAAAAAGAAAAAAGGCCATCTGACTCACGAGTCGAGTCCAGAACGTGATATTTCGCACACCGCGCCGCCATTCGAACCTTGTCCCGTCGTCACGATGCTCACAGCAATGAAATGAACACCTTGACGCGATTCTCGCGTCGTGGCAAGTGTGATGATGCCCGACAGGGGCTTCGGTGCCCAAGCAGAGGGATTTGCAAAGACGAGCCAAACGTAGGAAGACATACACACACAAGCAAATCTGTGCCCTTGAATTCCCTCTGTCAGCACACGCTTGACTTTTCTTGAGTAACAAGCCCAGTCAGCTCAAGCCGCGTAGTATTTTACACGATAAGCTTCTGACTTGGACAGCCACCGCGCACCATGCTTTCTTAGCTTCCCACGTCGACATGCGGCGTCAAGAGAGACTCCTCTCGCCGTGGAAAAGAGAACCAGAGCTCTGCAGTTGAGACCATGGCTCCGTCATTTGGCATTACGCCTCGGGGCTTCGTACCCCCGCCACGCCGGCACGACCTCCGCGTCGGCTTCACCACGTCAGTGAATACTGGACGCGATCCCATCTTCCCCGCGACCTGCCTCCAAGTATCATACAAGTTTGGCAGGTCTTGGGAGAATTTTTGGACAGGTCTTTACGGCGCGGGACGTGGTGAGTGATGGGTCGGACGGCGGGGTGTATCACATTGGCGTCCCGTCCAAGAACGTGCCGGTGGCGAGGGCGGCGAGCGAGGAGCATCTAGACGTCGAGGTTAGCCTGCATGCTTGGAAGGACCAGAAGTACTTGAATAGTTGGATTATCGGGGACATTCAGCGATGGGGGACGCTGAGTGAGGAGGTGCGAGCGGGCAGATGAAGGTCGTGGTTCAACAGCATGGAAGCAATGGACATTACATTTGGCACATGTATTTACCCTTTGTTCAACGGAGGCAATGGAAAATATCCAGCCAGGCCAGACACTTGGCCATCGTGCTCCTTACTACACGATGGTATATCAGCGTGTACTTGTCCATGGGCAAATACATCCCACCGCAGACGGTATATATGCGCCTCAACGGCAATGAACCAACGCTTGATATCAAGCGTGCTGGCGTTTCCTGCTCAAAACACATGACGGACAAATATCGTCAGCCATATCATCTCATTAGCTCTTTCACCACCAGTCGTAACAGCAAGAAAGAACCGCATCCACGATACCACTCACGTTGAGGCGTCGCACACCCGCCATCTTCACCGGAGAGATTCGACTCCAAAAACACAAGCTTACAGCCCATGCTCGTCTCATCTCCAGCTTCCCTTCCCTTCCCTTCCTCCCAGGCCATCGGTTCCCCGGCAAACCACCCAAATAAAAACAGAGAGAGTGTGCCTCGGTACAACATTGCACAAAGTCCCGTATTCCTGACGCTGCCTCGCCTTTGGTGCCACCCCATCCCACCGCCGTAGAACCGAAGAAAGGGGATTTACAATTTCTACAGGCGTGGGGACAGCCGAAGCGCGTACCCTCCGCCCACGGGGTTTGCGCCCATCGTCAAGTCGCACATTGTGTCGAGCTCAAGCGTACCAAGGGCCGTGGGAATGAGACATGGCGGATGGATGGATACGAGGTCCTCTTTGGAAACGCGCAAGACCATGGTACGGTGGATTTCGAAATAGCCTTTCTCGCCCCCGTCTAGTTTCCGGGAGAAAAGAGTAGTACTGCTCAGCCAAGAGGGAAACAAAAGACGTCAAAGTGCTTTCAAATCACACCCACCCATTGCGCGTCATCGTGAAAGAAACTCGGTAGCCAGGTTCCCTGCCAATGGCACACGGCAAAACCACCCGGTCAGCAAAATGGATTCTCGACCATTTTCCCGGCTCCGTCTCGTAGGGACCATCGGGAATCGTGTTTCACAAAGAAAGAAGGAAAGAAAGACCGCCCATCCTTAAATCACGACATGGTCACGACGTGGTCACGACGTGGCCTGGGGAGAAGGGGGGAGGGGGGGGCCCATGCAAGCATCAAGCATCAAGCATTGAAAATTTCAACGTCTATTGTAGCAACGCCCATTGCATGCTTAAATTTCTAGTACAAACCGTCGAAGAGACCTCAAACGCGCGCCAAGCGGTAGCATCCATGCAAAACAGCGACTTCCCCCCCTCCCCTTTCGCTTCCCCCGAATGCAACGGCGCAACGACGGTAGGTCGCCCTCATTTCGCCCGTCTCCATGCACGAATGCCGAGTTCATCTGAACTAGGTCACAGATCATGTTTGAGAGTGCTGTCCCCTCGAGCAGGGTTCTCCCGAGCGATCAAACGGATGCCGGATACCTACGACATGATCTGTCTTGGCCATGTGGAGATGGGACGCAATTTCCATCCCATCGGCGCGAAAATTACATGAGCTGGCTAAATGCACAACAAGGGGGGACCAAGGAGAAGAAGGAGAATGGAATACCGCTACTGCACCAAATACACCAAATACTACGTGCCCTCGTAGACGGTGCCCAGAACAAGGGGGGGCGTGACGTGCGACTTGTTTACTACTACTACTACTACTACTACTACAAGTTGCTCAATACAGAAAACAGCAATGCACATGGCTGGCCGTTTCAACATTGTATTGTACGTACATATGTACATACACACGTCATCTCTCGAATCTTCCATGACGGAATCTCGCATCATCCCGATGCAAGGGAGGCCAGCGCAAGCTAAAGCCCGCAGCGAGGAAACCCCCTCGGGCCATGGTATATACGTATATACACGCCCCTCGAGTGTTGTCTCGAACTGTACATACAGTAGTAGTATGCGCGCTACATAAATGCATTGCGCGAATGTGTTGAGAGTAGTAGAAGAAAAGAGGCAAGGGAAAAAGAAAATGGAATAGCAAACGAGATACTCTGTGCTTGGATTCGGCGTGG